ATAGACAGTGCGAGCGAATGGCATGATAGACAGTGCGAGCGAATGGCATGATAGACAGTGCGAGTGAATGGCATGATAGACAGTGCGAGTGAATGGCATGATAGACAGTGCGAGTGAATGGCATGATAGACAGTGCGAGTGAAGCACCTCGCCAGCGCGAGCTTGAAACTATCGGACGGTTGGTAAGGTGAAGCACCTTGGGTCGCATGGTACTTAACTTGCCACGCCTTTCACTCGCACCTCGGCAGATGGCATGACAGTGCAGGGATGGGATGCGCACCTCTGCAGATGGCGTGGTATGCGTCTTTCACATTCCTCTTGCCACATGCTTGGCTGTGATTGGTGGGCCCAGAATTGGATGAGGGAGAGAAGGGCAAGGGAGAGAACGGGAAGAAGGGCAGATGAGTGATGGGAGCCGAGTTACAGGCACCTCAGGGATAGGGCAAGTGGAAAAGAAGGGGAGTGGAAGGGGTGGGGAAGGGAAACCAGACTTAGCGGATGAGCGAGGGGAAAAAACAATCAAGGGAGGCGCACGTCAATTTCCCAGAAGAAAACGGCAGCATGTGTAGCCTGTGCGAATCGACTCAACCCAGCAACCATATTGCTGTGTTGGCCTCACACCACCAGCCACCCCAGGCCTCACAACTGTCACGACTCAAGCACCATTTTCTGGTGTTGACTCCGCATCTCACCACTTGGCAGGCTCGGTCAGAGGCTTGTACTTGCCGTACCTGCGCCGAGGAGCAGAGAGGAGAGGACGAGGGCGATGAGAATGGGGTGTGAGGGAGACGTGGAGGGAGAGAGAGAGGACTGGGTGAGTGGTGTGTGTGGGGGAGGCGGGAGGGCGGAAGCTGAGGAAAGTGGGGCAGGGAAGAGGGAAATTGGGGGAGGGGGATGTAGGAGGTAATGCTGGGGTTGGTCGGCAGAGAATACAGCAGATGGAGACGTTTCAAGTGCAGAGGTACCGCTACTAAACGGATGCTTCCAAAGACTCGCCCACCTCTCTCGTCGTCTCTCCTCTCTCGTCGTCTCTCCTCTTTCCTCTTTCCTCTCTCCTCTTTCCTCTCTCCTCTTTCCTCTCTCCTCTTTCCTCTCTCCTCTTTCCTCTCTCCTCTTTCCTCTCTCCTCTTTCCTCTCTCCTCTTTCCTTCCCTCGCCCATTTAATGCCCCAACACTCCCCACACCCCACCACTCCCACTCCCGCATCCCTCAAGTCAGTGTCAGCCCCCTCGACAAGCCCACAACAGGCCCTCCTGTGCCCACTCAGCCCCTCCTGACACTCACCCGAGGCCACAGGCCCTCCTCCCGCCCTGCTTCCGTCAAGCCCTTAGCCCTCCTCCTGCCTTGCCCCCACTCAGCCCCTACAGCACGCAGCACTCAGTTGTGGCGCCATGCAATCTGCTCGCAGCAGCGCCGGCACACTGCAAGCCCTCTGGCACAACTCACTGGAAGCCAGGTCACAAGCCCTCCCTCTCCACCCCACTCAGCCCCACTCTACCACTCACTTGCGGCGCCATGCGATCTGCTCGCTGCAGCGCCGGCACACTCCTGAGATGTTGGCGAATGGCCTCGCCTTGGTGCCCAGCTCCTGGGGGGGGAGGGGGGGGAGGGGAGGGAGGGGAGGGGAGACGGAGGGGGTGAAAAGGGAGAAGGAGGCGGGGAAGGAGTAAGGAATGCGGGACGAGATGTTGGCGAATGGCCTCGCCTTGGTGCCCAGCTCCTGGGGGGGGAGGGGGGGGTGGAAGAGGGAGGGGGAGGGGGAGAGGGAGAGGGGGAGATCCGCCTGGAAGGATGGGAACGGGGATGGGGGGGAGAGGGGGGGGGGACGGTGGGGCATGTGAAAATGCCAATCCCATGTGCGGGTGCCAATGCAATGCAGGAATGATGAGTAAATGCAAGGCGACGCCCATCCACCCCTCCCGCCCTTCCTCGTCCACCCCTCCCGCCCTTCCACGCCCCTCCTATCCAGCCCCTTTCTCCTCCACTGCTTTCCTTCCATCCGCCCCCTCCTCGTACGCGCTCTCTCAATCCTCCTGACTTCCTTCTTGAGGATTCTCAGAATTTCTCCCCTCATCTCCTCCCTCGTTCTCTTCCTGTCAACCACTCGCCTCACCGTCTCCTTCTTCTGCACGTTGTGCTCCGGAACCCACACTGTCCTGCCATGCCATACAACCGCCACAGGTGGAGGGGAGCACACAGCCCTTGTTCACCCCCTCCTCCCCACAACCCTCTACACCTCCCTCGTTCTCTCCCTGTCACCCCCTCGCCTCACCGTCTCCTTCTTCTGCACGTTGCGCTCCGGAACCCATGCTGTCCTGCCATGCCATACAACCGCCACAGGTGGAGGGGAGCACACAGCCCTTGTTCACCCCCTCCTCCCCACAACCCTCTACACCTCCCTCGTTCTCTCCCTGTCACCCCCTCGCCTCACCGTCTCCTTCTTCTGCACGTTGCGCTCCGGAACCCATGCTGTCCTGCCATGCCATACAACCGCCACAGGTGGAGGGGAGCACACAGCCCTTGTTCACCCCCTCCTCCCCACAACCCTCTACACCTCCCTCGTTCTCTCCCTGTCACCCCCTCGCCTCACCGTCTCCTTCTTCTGTATGTTGCGCTCCGGAACCCACGCTACCCTGCCATGCCATTGAGGTGGAGGGACGTGCACACAGCCAGAACACCCACACACACACTCGAGGGTTTAACGGGGGTTCTGGGTTCAGCAGGTCCATGCTACCCTGGCACGTTACTGCCGGCAATGGCACAGGACGGGGACAGGAATCCTTCAAGGGTTTAACCAAGGGTCTGGGTTTGACAGACCCACGCTGCCCTGGCAGGCTGGCAGGTCACGCAATGCCATCGGACGGACGGACACACAGAAAACGATGTTGTGGGTACTGGATTTCAGTGATCTGTCAGGTTCACAACATCTCTAAAAAATAACAGCAAAAAAAACACTGCGTGTAGGCGGGTTCTACGGGGGCACACGGGACGGTTGCGCGTAGGGTTTCGCATGTTTAGCAGAGGCTCACTTGTTCTGGTGCTTGGGCGCGCCTCTGGATGGCGCTCCCCTTCTCGTCGACATCTCCGACCTTCCCTCTCCCGCTTATCGCTCACCACTCCTCCTCACTCCCTTTCCACAACCCTCCGCTTTCCCTTATGAGCCCTTCCCTCACAGTCTGTTTCCGCGCGCAGTCCTTTACGCCTCGTCCCTTACGCCTAACCCGCCGCAGTGGTTCCAATGAGAAAACTTTCAGGCGCCTTAAGACCCGCAGGGGCCCACGTGAGAGATTCAAGTTTAGCCGTGGAATGCGGTCGGTTAGGCGGCTGAAGTCTACAAGTCCCGGGCTTAGCGCCGATGCGCGCGTTACCTATAACTTTGTGTAGAAGCAAGTAAGAGACTCTCGAAAAGCAACAAAAAAATTGGTTATGCCCGCTTGCGCGGGATGCCTTAACCGTTGTGTGTTGAGAGCCCGAAGGCTGATCTCGTCCTTGTCGAGGGAGATGCTAACCTTCTCTCGGCTCAACGAAAAGACAGGGCGATGGTAAACCAGAATACTAGAAATATTGTTTTTTGAAGTGAAGTGTTTTGTGGGCTCATTTTAATGTGGATCAAGGAAATTTTAGCAACCTGCTTTGTAGCACGTCGCATGCTCGACACGCCGAACGGCTTGTGCAGCTGGTAACCGCCTCCTCGCTATAATCTCGCAGCTTGACACCCTTGAAATTGCCATGCTGGCAAACAGCACGTCTTCGTGCATGTCGTAACACGAGTGTAACCACCCTGACAGCCTCTTCCTTCCTGCGAAATGCCGCGCGCTACAAGCCGGCTGGTGGTGCCGCTGACGACAGCACTTGATCTGCGTGAAAACAAATTGTTTCAGAAAGATATGTCGCGGTGGAAAGGTTTTTATAGGTTAAAGTCGAACCGTCTGGAAACGAGCTGAAACCAAGTCAAGGGGGCCATTGATAATGCAGCTGCAGAGCAAGCTCAGCGCAAAGCCCGCTAGCTCTGAACGAAACCGAGCAGAGAGACCGAGAGACCACCATTATACCACATCGCGCACCGCGTGCACCGTTCTGCACAAAAAAACTCCCGACGCTCAACTCCTTTTTGTGATCTAGTGTTTCTTATGACGACCGTATGATGAGGATGTAATGGCGATGGATCTAATAGCTAAGGATGGATTTCCCTGGGACTAATGTCCTTTCGCCGTCCTGATAAGGTAGAGCTTTCTAACGAATCACGAGACACCAAGCGTAGACGGATTAGTTCGCAGCGCATTCCCGATCCGGAGTCTGGGAGCGATTCACTTGCCACGTCACGACGAATCCAAGAGTCTTTATCTGGTCTGTTCAAGTCCGGCTCCTCGATTCTCTCTCGCAAGCTCGAAATCTTCTCAAACGCAAAGGGGCAACAGCGTTCAGATCAGCCTGGTCAGTCGTCGTCTCTCCAAGACCGCTCGCCATCGCTCCAATCGCCATCCTTGCAGCTTCAATTGCCGTCGCGTATCGCTCCAGGCTCAACATCCTTGAAGAGATCTTCGCGTCTCGCTGAATCTCCCGACGCAAGCGCCACTCGTGCTCATCCGAGCGCATCTCGTCCCGCGTCGCCTGGAATTCTAGGGGCTGTAGGAAGTCCAAAAGTCCACGAAGCCGAAAGATCACGAAAATCTCAACGATCTTGCAAATCTAGAAGACATCTAGGAGATTCGCGGCAATCCCAAGGGATTTTACGAGGTAGAGACTTTGAAGGAGCGGCAGGTGCTTACAAGCGGTTCAAGATGTCGTGGATGGGAGGATGGAAGCGGGAGACGGACAAATTTCAGCTCGAGCTAGGCTACGGGGAGAAGGAGAAGCAGAGAGAGAAAGATCTTCCCGTTGAAACCAACGGCTTAGATGGGACCACGTCGTCCGCCGCATCTGACGCTGGGGATGAATCGGACGGCGAGGATGGGCCTGGCGCGGTTGCGAGAGCGTTACTGAGCAAGATTCGCGAGCCAATGGTGAGCGCGGAGCGACAGTGCAGGTTTCGCATTCAGATCGACTGGTCTGCTGGGGACGACGAGGAGCAGGTGGCGTTACGGTTACAATCGCTCGTGATGGTAACCCTACCTCCCCCCCATGACCACGTGGTAGTAGGCTTGCACGTGGAGCCACGTGGCGAGGAGAATCAGGACAGCAAGGCAGCATCAGCACCTGAAACACCACCAGAGGAACCATCAGAAGAATCGCTAAAACCAGGAGACGAACGGTTGAGATTGCAGGATCCTGGGAAGTGGACGGTCAGGATGAACTTGAGAGTACACAAGCAGAGGGAGCCGCTGCACGTGCTGCGACTGACGCGAGTAGCAGCCAGCAGCAGCTCGTCCTATTCAGGCAGCGACGGGCTGTCCATGCTGGCGAAACTGCTAGACGCCAAGGGCGTGGCCCTTCACCGGGCTGACGTGGCTGCTGCTGCTGCCAGCGCGATTCCCACAGGGACTTCAGGTGGAATCTCAGGTGGAATTTCAGGTGCAGCAGGGGGCACTGTTGGTTCAGGTGGTAGTCCTGGTTCGGGCAGGAGTGCAGGGAGTGGTGGGGGGCTGGTGAAGTCAGGGTCGGGAGATGGAAGCGAGAAAGGAGGCACGGCAGCAGGGGGGAAGCTGCAGCAGCAACAGCAGCAGTCTCAGGCAGTATCTGCTTCTTCAGAGCAACAGCAGAAGCAGCAGCAGCAGCAGGTGCTATCAACAGCAGCAGCGGAGAGCATGTTGGGTTACTCCGACCACTGGCGCTCGTTAAAGGCCCTCTCCCTCTCCTCCTGCTCCCTCTCTGTAAGCACATCAACCCTTCTCGGACCGCCATTGCCTCCTTCCTTATATAAGTACACCCATCCGTCCCGAACCTTTTGCCTTCTCCGAAAGCGCATGTCTCCTTACTCTCAGGCCTCCATTCTCTCTAATTACATGTATCCCTCACGGGCCTTGCACATTCTCCAGAGCACAAATTTCATTAAGCACGTGTATCCCGGTCAGTGTTACACTCGATAAGCACATGCATGTATCCTTCGCAAGCATTTGAACCGTCCGTGAATGTGACACTACTGGAGGTACTGGAGGTGGAGAACAGCCGATAAGGTTCTTGATTATTGTTTCCTCTTCCTGTCGCTGGTGGTCCCCCATCTGCCTCTCCCCCAACCCCAGGTGCTTCCCAATGTCACCATGAATCTGCCCTTATTGGAGGTACTGGAGGTGGAGAACAACCGCCTGAGTGCTCCTCTTTACCCACCCTCTCTAGTTCTTCCCTCCTGAACCAACCCCACTCCAGGTCCTCCCCAACTTCACCATGAACCTGCCCCTGCTGGAGGTACTGGAGGTGGAGAACAACCGCCTAAGTGCGCTGCCGGGGGAGATCGGACAGCTGCAGCAGCTGAGGGTGCTGCGCGCTGACAACAACCTGCTCACCACTGTGCCCAGTGAGTCACGCACAGTATGGCTTTAAGGCCTCTGTGCCCAATGAGTCACGCACAGTATAGTTCTGAGGCTTCTGTGCCGAGTGAGTGTTTCTTGAGGCACCTGAAAGAGGGGGTCAGCTACAGCAACCGAGGGTGCTACACGCTGATAACAACCTGCTCACCCCAGTGCCCAGTGAGTGACGCACAGTCTAGTTTCGTGGCCTTTGTGCCCAGTGAGTCTCACTTAAGGCACAATAACGAGGGGAAAAGTGCAGCAGGTGAGGGTGCTGCGCACTGATAGCAAACCTGTACGAAGAAGAGTCTCCTTTCCGTCTTACTGTGCCCAGTGAGTCACGCTCAGCAGAATTTCTACGTGATGATAAATTGGTTTTGAGACGTTTCGAAACAACCTGCTCATCACTGTGCCCAGTTAGTCTCGCACAACGTAGTTTTAAGGCCGTATGAGGTGTCTCAGTATCGAGTTTTGAGCCCTCTGTGCAAAGGGAGTTGTCTAGTAAGAGTGTGCACCTTCCTTGCCATGCCAAGTGCACCTTCCTTGCCATGCCAAGTGCACCTTCCTTGCCATGCCAAGTGCACCTTCCTTGCCATGCCAAGTGCACCTTCCTTGCCATGCCAAGTGCACGCGTGGACTTATCTGGACCGTGCTCCACCGTGCCTGGTCCTGGGCCCTGTGCCTGGTCATGTGGTGCATTAACTGAAGCACAGCACACGACGGGCTCCATTCGTGAACTTCACCCGAACCCTGCTGTTCCTTGCCCCTGCCCTCCGTCTCCTATCTTTCACTGACCCTCCCCATGGCAGTCACACTGCGCGAGTGCACCAACCTGAGAGAACCCTCCCTCGAGAACAACCACCTTGTGCGCCCTCTATTCACCTGTCCTGTCCTACACCAACCCCCCCCCCCCCTGTTACAGTCACGCTGCGCGAGTGCACCAACCTGAGAGAGCTTTCCCTCGAGAACAACCGCCTCGTGCGTCCGCTCCTGGATTTCAGGTGCGTCTGCTACTTGCCTTTCACTCGGTTTCTTCCCGCCTTCCACGATTCCGCCACCCCTTTGCCACTCTTCTGCCACTCGCCCTCTGTCACCACTCCACCTTGCGCTGCTGTTTCATGCCCTATCAACACACCCCCTTCCACTTGACAACTCACTTCCCCCCCCCTGCAGGTGCCTGGCGGACCTGAGAGGGTATTGCGGCTCTTCAACAAACCCCCTCAAGTTCTTCCCGGACATCCTCCCTTGCTCATTCCACCATCCTACACCATCGCCTATCCCGCCCTTCCCCCCTGTGCCCTGCAGGTGCCTGGCGGACCTGAGGGTGCTACGGCTCTTCAACAACCCCCTCGAGTTGTCCCCTGAGATCCTGCCGTGCCCGTGCCACCATCCTACACCATCGCATTGCCTATCCCTCCCCTGCCCCCCTGCCCCCCTGCCCCCTGCACAGGTGCCTGGCGGACCTGAGGGTGCTGCGGCTCTTCAACAACCCCCTTGAGTTCTTCCCGGAGATCCTGCCCTGCCGCCACCTGCGCCTGCTCTCCCTGGCCAACGTGCGCATCGTCAGCGATCCCGACCTTAAGACGGTGGATGTCAGCATCGTGGTGAGTCCATTGTTACACGAAATGTCCCGTTGAACAACGTTAGAGCAACATGTTTGCCCTCATATTAAAGCCCGCGTCCCAAGTTGCGAGGTGCGCGGGTCAACCTTTTCAAACTTGAAAGCAGTGCGGTCTGAACCAGAGTTATGCGAAATGGGGTTTCAGGGAGTACGAAATAATTTGATTGGTTGAAAACGGTCAAGGAGTTGAGTAGCGCATGAAACAAGTGAAAACTTGAAAGCAGTGCCCTGGCAATTTGGGACTTCCGAGGAGTGAAAAGCTGGACCAGCTGGGCGTGGCGAAAAACACGAATCTGACGCGATTATGACGAAGTCGAAACTTTCGTCACAACCCAAACTAACAAAATCTGCCCATAATCTTTTAGAAGCTTGAACAACTTGGGCTGTGGGCTTTAAGCTACTCACCCGTTCCTCGTTCTCTTCTCTTCCCCCCCCGCATCTTCAGCAACTGGAGGCTCAGCAGGGCTCCTACTTCTCGGCATCGAAGCACTGTCTGAGCGACTTCTTCGAGCTCATCTTCCGGTACTCCTCCGTCCACCACCCCGCCCTCTCCCCTCCATTCCCTTCCCTTCTTCCCCCACACATCTTCAGCAACTGGAGGCTCAGCAAGGCTCTTACTTCTCGGCGTCCAAGCACTGCCTGAGCGATTTCTTTGCGCTCATCTTCCGCTACTCCTCCGTGCACCACCCGCTGCTGGCGTCCGCCCTGGCGCGCATCTGTGAGGACCGCGAGAACCGCACGGCCATTGGCAAGGATGAGAGCGCGATCAGACAGATCGTGAGCATGCTGCTGGCTGACTCCAAGCACGTGGTGAGTGGGCGGAAGGCATGGGCTGTGGTGTGTGGGGTTGGTTGGGGGTTGAAGAACCGCGCGGCGATCGGCAAGGATGAAAGCGCGATCAGGCAGATCGTGAGCATGCTGCTGGCTGACTCCAAGCACGTGGTGAGCTACAAGGGGCTGTGGCGCATGGGGTTGTGTGTGGGGAATGGGTTGTGGGGTTGGGTGAGAATGGTTGCGAACCGCGTGGCCATTGGCAAGGATGAGAGCGCGATCAGGCAGATCGTGAGCATGGTGCTGGCGGACTCCAAGCACGTGGTGGTGAGTTAGAACTTAGAAGGGGCTGTGTGGAAGGAGGTTATGAAGGGGGAATGGGTTGTGGTGCAAGGGGCTAGGTGGGGAATGGGTTGTGGTGCAAGGGGCTAGGTGGGGAATGGGTTGTGGTGCAAGGGGCTAGGTGGGGAATGGGTTGTGGTGCAAGGGGCTAGGTGGGGAATGGGTTGTGGTGCAAGGGGCTAGGTGGGGAATGGGTTGTGGTGCAAGGGGCTAGGTGGGGAATGGGTTGTGGTGCAAGGGGCTAGGTGGGGAATGGGTTGTGGTGCAAGGGGCTAGGTGGGGAATGGGTTGTGGTGCAAGGGGCTAGGTGGGGAATGGGTTGTGGTGCAAGGGGCTAGGTGGGGAATGGGTTGTGGTGCAAGGGGCTAGGTGGGGAATGGGTTGTGGTGCAAGGGGCTAGGTGGGGAATGGGTTGTGGTGCAAGGGGCTAGGTGGGGAATGGGTTGTGGTGCAAGGGGCTAGGTGGGGAATGGGTTGTGGTGCAAGGGGCTAGGTGGGGAATGGGTTGTGGTGCAAGGGGCTAGGTGGGGAATGGGTTGTGGTGCAAGGGGCTAGGTGGGGAATGGGTTGTGGTGCAAGGGGCTAGGTGGGGAATGGGTTGTGGTGCAAGGGGCTAGGTGGGGAATGGGTTGTGGTGCAAGGGGCTAGGTGGGGAATGGGTTGTGGTGCAAGGGGCTAGGTGGGGAATGGGTTGTGGTGCAAGGGGCTAGGTGGGGAATGGGTTGTGGTGCAAGGGGCTAGGTGGGGAATGGGTTGTGGTGCAAGGGGCTAGGTGGGGAATGGGTTGTGGTGCAAGGGGCTAGGTGGGGAATGGGTTGTGGTGCAAGGGGCTAGGTGGGGAATGGGTTGTGGTGCAAGGGGCTAGGTGGGGAATGGGTTGTGGTGCAAGGGGCTAGGTGGGGAATGGGTTGTGGTGCAAGGGGCTAGGTGGGGAATGGGTTGTGGTGCAAGGGGCTAGGTGGGGAATGGGTTGTGGTGCAAGGGGCTAGGTGGGGAATGGGTTGTGGTGCAAGGGGCTAGGTGGGGAATGGGTTGTGGTGCAAGGGGCTAGGTGGGGAATGGGTTGTGGTGCAAGGGGCTAGGTGGGGAATGGGTTGTGGTGCAAGGGGCTAGGTGGGGAATGGGTTGTGGTGCAAGGGGCTAGGTGGGGAATGGGTTGTGGTGCAAGGGGCTAGGTGGGGAATGGGTTGTGGTGCAAGGGGCTAGGTGGGGAATGGGTTGTGGTGCAAGGGGCTAGGTGGGGAATGGGTTGTGGTGCAAGGGGCTAGGTGGGGAATGGGTTGTGGTGCAAGGGGCTAGGTGGGGAATGGGTTGTGGTGCAAGGGGCTAGGTGGGGAATGGGTTGTGGTGCAAGGGGCTAGGTGGGGAATGGGTTGTGGTGCAAGGGGCTAGGTGGGGAATGGGTTGTGGTGCAAGGGGCTAGGTGGGGAATGGGTTGTGGTGCAAGGGGCTAGGTGGGGAATGGGTTGTGGTGCAAGGGGCTAGGTGGGGAATGGGTTGTGGTGCAAGGGGCTAGGTGGGGAATGGGTTGTGGTGCAAGGGGCTAGGTGGGGAATGGGTTGTGGTGCAAGGGGCTAGGTGGGGAATGGGTTGTGGTGCAAGGGGCTAGGTGGGGAATGGGTTGTGGTGCAAGGGGCTAGGTGGGGAATGGGTTGTGGTGCAAGGGGCTAGGTGGGGAATGGGTTGTGGTGCAAGGGGCTAGGTGGGGAATGGGTTGTGGTGCAAGGGGCTAGGTGGGGAATGGGTTGTGGTGCAAGGGGCTAGGTGGGGAATGGGTTGTGGTGCAAGGGGCTAGGTGGGGAATGGGTTGTGGTGCAAGGGGCTAGGTGGGGAATGGGTTGTGGTGCAAGGGGCTAGGTGGGGAATGGGTTGTGGTGCAAGGGGCTAGGTGGGGAATGGGTTGTGGTGCAAGGGGCTAGGTGGGGAATGGGTTGTGGTGCAAGGGGCTAGGTGGGGAATGGGTTGTGGTGCAAGGGGCTAGGTGGGGAATGGGTTGTGGTGCAAGGGGCTAGGTGGGGAATGGGTTGTGGTGCAAGGGGCTAGGTGGGGAATGGGTTGTGGTGCAAGGGGCTAGGTGGGGAATGGGTTGTGGTGCAAGGGGCTAGGTGGGGAATGGGTTGTGGTGCAAGGGGCTAGGTGGGGAATGGGTTGTGGTGCAAGGGGCTAGGTGGGGAATGGGTTGTGGTGCAAGGGGCTAGGTGGGGAATGGGTTGTGGTGCAAGGGGCTAGGTGGGGAATGGGTACATCCAGAGCAGTGCGGCCATCGGCAAGGATGAGAGCGCCATCCGGCAGATCGTGAGCATGCTGCTGGCGGACTCCAAGCACGTGGTGAGTGGGGGGAGGGTTGGAAGGGTGAGTAGCAAATGGGAGCTGGGTTTGGGTGGGGAATGGGCTGTGGGATTTGGGTGGTGGTGCATGGGTGTAACACATGGACCACGTTTACGTTATTGTGGTGTCATCTGGTCGTTGCTGTGTCTTGAGGCGCCTCAAAACCCATCCGAACACTCTCAAATGCCCCCTTCCTCCTTTGATCAGGTGGAGCAAGCGTGCCACGCCCTCTCCTCCCTGGCAATGGATGATGCTTTAGTCACTCACCTAGTGAAATCAGACGTGCTAGCAGCCATCTGCTCGCTGCTGCTCTCCCAGCACTCCCATCAAAACCCTCCCACTCACTCCCCCATTCCCCCCTTTCGCTCTTCCCCACTCCCAACTCCTACATCAGGTGGAGCAGGCGTGCCACGCCCTCTCCTCCCTCGCAATGGACGACGCTCTGGTCACCCACCTGGTGAAATCAGACGTGCAAGCGGCCATCTGCTCGCTGCTGCTATCACAGCACTCCCCTCGAACCCCTCCCACCCCCCATATCCCCCTTTCCCTCCCGCCCACACCCTCCACCCACATCAGGTGGAGCAGGCATGCCATGCGTTATCATCTCTAGCAATGGACGACGCACTGGTGACCCACCTGGTGAAGTCGGACGTGCAAGCGGCCATCTGCTCGCTGCTGCTATCACAGCACTCCCCTCGAACCCCTCCCACCCCCCATATCCCCCTTTCCCTCCCGCCCACACCCTCCACCCACATCAGGTGGAGCAGGCATGCCATGCGTTATCATCTCTAGCAATGGACGACGCACTGGTGACCCACCTGGTGAAGTCGGACGTGCAAGCGGCCATCTGCTCGCTGCTGCTATCACAGCACTCCCCTCGAACCCCTCCCACCCCCCATATCCCCCTTTCCCTCCCGCCCACACCCTCCACCCACATCAGGTGGAGCAGGCATGCCATGCGTTATCATCTCTAGCAATGGACGACGCACTGGTGACCCACCTGGTGAAGTCGGACGTGCAAGCGGCCATCTGCTCGCTGCTGCTATCACAGCACTCCCCTCGAACCCCTCCCACCCCCCATATCCCCCTTTCCCTCCCGCCCACACCCTCCACCCACATCAGGTGGAGCAGGCATGCCATGCGTTATCATCTCTAGCAATGGACGACGCACTGGTGACCCACCTGGTGAAGTCGGACGTGCAAGCGGCCATCTGCTCGCTGCTGCTATCACAGCACTCCTCTCGAACCCCTCCCACCCCCCATATCCCCCTTTCCCTCCCGCCCACACCCTCCACCCACATCAGGTGGAGCAGGCATGCCATGCGTTATCATCTCTAGCAATGGACGACGCACTGGTGACCCACCTGGTGAAGTCGGACGTGCAAGCGGCCATCTGCTCGCTGCTGCTATCACAGCACTCCCCTCGAACCCCTCCCACCCCCCATATCCCCCTTTCCCTCCCGCCCACACCCTCCACCCACATCAGGTGGAGCAGGCATGCCATGCGTTATCATCTCTAGCAATGGACGACGCACTGGTGACCCACCTGGTGAAGTCGGACGTGCCAGTGGCCATCTGCTCGCTGCTGCTGTCCTAGCAGCCGGAGATCCTCGTGTCCGTGCTGCGCGTCAAGATGCTTCAGGAATCAGAACCACACCACCCCCCCCCCCCCCCTCTTCCTCCTCTTGCTCTCCCCCTTCCCCCTCTTGCTCTCCCTCTTCCCCCTCTCGCTCTCCTCCTCAACCCCCCCACACCAGGTGGAGCAAGCATGCCATGCCCTCTCCTCGCTCGCAATGGACGACGCTTTAGTCACCCACCTGGTGAAATCCGACGTGCTGGCAGCCATCTGCTCGCTGCTGCTCTCCCAGCAGCCCGAGATCCTCGTGTCCGTGCTGCGCGTCGTTTCCAACCTCGCCCTCGCCTCTGACTCCGTTGCTGCGCGAATTTTGAACGTCGATTCTGCTGCCATTCTCACCAGCCTCTGCCACCACACACACATGATGGTATGTGTGGGGGGGAAGAGGGGAAGGAAGAGGGGGGAGGGGGAGAAAGGGGTACTATCCTCATGTCCGTGCTGCGCGTCATTGCCAACCTTGCCCTCGCCTCTGACTCCGTTGCTGCGCGAATACTGAAGGTCGACTCCGCGGCTATTCTCACCAGCCTGTGCCACCACACACACATGATGGTACGTGCGTGGGGGAAGAGGGGAAGGAAGAGGGGGGAGAAAGGGGTACTATCCTCATGTCGGTGCTGCGCGTCATTGCCAACCTCGCCCTCGCCTCTGACTCCGTTGCTGCTCGCATCTCAATGTCGACTCAGCGGCTATCCTTACCAGTCTGTGCCACCACACGCACATGATGGTACGTGTGTGCGGGAGGAGAGGGGGAGTGGGAAAGTGGGTACTAAGGCGTGTATGTGCAGCATGCAGGGTGGTATGTGGGGTGTACGGCATGGGGCGTGCAGGATGGTAGTGTGGGTGGTGGATGGTGCATGCCCCACGCTTTGCAACCCCTTGCTCTTCTGCCCTCTCCCCTTCCCCGATCCCCTTCCCCCCTCCATTTCCGTCGTCCTCCCTCTCTCCCCTTCCCACACCCTCCTCCACTCTTCTCCATCACACTGCACTTTGAATCCTTTCCGTTGTAACCTCCTCGTCAGTCATCCACCAACCCATGGGTCAATTTGACTCATAGTCGAAGGGCTGCAGTAGTTGTAAAGACGCTTAAGCAAAGGAACAACAGTGAAAAAAAAAAAAACAGGTGTGAAAAACGCAGATCTGGAAAAACCCTTAGCTTCCGAAAAACCTCCTTGCGTAAACTAGTTTCGGCGAATGGGCGAACCCGTCACGCCTTCATCAGTACAGCACAATTCGGAACTCAGAGACAGAGAGCCTGGTAGCAGCTGAAGTAGCTAAACTACCCTCGAGATCTACATACAAGAATCCAACTAGGAAAGGGGTTCGCCAACTAGGCATTGAAACAAATTCAGGGTGCCAAGTCAGCCTTCAGGAACTTCTTCGACAATCTTGGCGAGTGACTTTGGTAACCGCGCCCTTACAAGTAACCGCTGAAGGTTACGCGCACGCTTCCATGCAATTATAATTCTCCCCACATAAAAACCGCGAGACAGGAGACAACTTTTGAGGCGCCTCAAACACCGCACTTTGAATCCTTTCCGTTGTAACCTCCTCGTCAGTCGTCCACCAACCCATCTCTCTTTCCTTCTTCCCCAACCCCCCATCCCCACCCCCACCTCTCCTCCTTCTCCCAGGTGCAAACTCAAGCCCTAATGGCGGTGGGTAACTTGTCATTCTGCCCGGACAATCGCCGCCTGCTGGTGGCTCAACCCGGCTTCCTGGACGGGCTCTATCACCTTGCCACCGGGGGAGGGGGCCTGGCCGGAGGGGGCTGCATCGTTTTCCGCTCTAACCTCCCTCCCTCGTTCGTCGCCCATCTCTCCCACCTCTCTTTCCCCACCGTTGCCTCACCCCTCTTCCCAGGTGCAAACTCAAGCCCTAATGGCCGTGGGTAACTTGTCGTTCTGCCCAGACAATCGCCGCCTGTTAGTGGCCCAACCAGGCTTCCTAGACGGGCTCTATCACCTTGCCACCGGGGGCGGGGGCCTGGGGGGGGGGGGCTGGGGAGGAGGCGGGGAAGGGGGAGGGGGAGTGGGAGGTGATGTGGGGGAAGGGGGTTTGGGGGCGGAAGGGGGGGGAATGAGGGGAGGCGGAGGGGGTGTGGGAAGGTATCAGCACAGGGCGTTAGTGGTGGAGGTTCCAACTGTCTTCTCGTTTCGCAAGGCTGCAGCACGGGTGCTTGCCATTCTGGGTAAGCTGGCTTGCTATTCTGGGTAAGCTGTTTTCCTACTCTATGAAAAGACCGTACAGGAAGCACTCTGTTCAACCATTCCTCCTCCCTCCCCTTTTATTCCATTCCTGCTCGCTCTCCGCTGTGCTGTGATGTGCTCTGCTGTGTGATGCTCTGCTGTATTGTGCACTGCAGGGGAGAACCGGCTGGTGCAGGAGGCACTCTGCTTGAGGGCGGTGGGGCAGAGGGGCGTGCGCGTGATGGTGATGGACGGAAGAGGCATGCAGGGCATGGCCATGGTGCAGATGCTGCGCAGCTATTCAACAAATCCCTCCTCTTTTATCCCATTTCCCCTTGCACTGTGCTGTGTGTGCTGTTCTGTGCCGGTGCTATGCGGCGTGGTGCTGCGCTGTGTGCTGCAGGTGAAAATCGACTGGTGCAGGAGGCGCTATGCACGAGGGCAGTGGGGCAGAGGGGCGTGCGAGTGCTGGTGATGGACGGGGGGGGCATGCGGGGCATGGCCATGGTGCAGATGCTGCGGCAGATCGAGGGGCGCACAGGCAGGCGCGTGCATGAGCTGTTCGACCTGGTGTGTGGCACGTCCACCGGGGGCATGCTGGCAGCAGAGCTGGGGATAAAACGTCTGACCCTGGACCAATGCGACGACGTGTACAGGCGCCTGGGTGAGTGGCTTTCAGGGGTTGCTGTAGCTGTAGTGTAGGGTGAAGTGGGCTCAGCTGTTTGACCTCGTGTGTGGCACGTCCACCGGCGGCATGCTGGCAGCAGAGCTGGGGATCAAACGACTCGCTCTCGACCAGTGCGACGATGTGTACAGGCGACCGGGTGAGTGGCTTTCAGGGTTGTATGGATGCAGTTTCTGTAAGGCTGTAGAGGGGATTGGGCTCTGTGGTGGGCACGAGTTGCTTGACCTGGTGTGTGGCACGTCCACTGGCGGCATGCTGGCAGCTGAGCTGGGGATCAAACGGCTGACTCTGGACCAGTGCGATGATGTCTACAGGCGACTGGGTGAGCGGGGGTCAGGGCTTTAGGGGTGCACGTTTCGTAGGGCTGTAGTGGGAAGTGGGTTTTTGGCACGAATTGTTTGACCTCGTGTGTGGCACGTCCACTGGCGGCAGAGTTGGGGATCAAGCGCCTTACTCTGGACCATTGTGATGATGTCTACAGGCGACTGGGTGAGTTGTTGTCATGTGGCTGTGGGGGGCAGCTGGTTTGGGGTGCGAGCTGTTTGACCTGGTGTGTGGCACGCACGTCCACTGGCGGCATGCTGAACACAGAGCCCTCTGGACACAATATAGCTGTATTGTATTTGCGACCATCCCTTGCGCTCTCCTTGTTCAACCCCCCTTCACCAGGCAAGCTGGTGTTTTCGAACGCGGAGGCGATGGAGTCAGCTAACTGTATGCACGACCAACTCCCCCCACCCCTCCCTCCCCACACCACGCTCCTTGGTCTCATGGGTTCCCCCCTCACGCCCACCAGGCAAGCTGGTGTTTTCGAACGCGGAGGCGATGGAGTCGGCTAACTGTATGCACGACCAACTCCCCCCACCCCTCCCTCCCCACACCACGCTCCTTGGTCTCATGGGTTCCCCCCTCACGCCCACCAGGCAAGCTGGTGTTTTCGAACGTGGAGGCGATGGAATCGGCATCGTGGCGGGACAAGCTAGACCAGCTGTACAAAAGCTCCTCACAGAACTACCGTGTGGTGGTGCACGGCAGCAAGGTGGGCAGAGTGAAGGGTGCGTGCATGTTAGGGGCTGCGAGGGCCATGTGGGGGGGTAGACAAGCTGGACCAGCTGTACAAGAGCTCTTCTCAGAACTACCGTGTGGTGGTGCATGGCAGCAAGGTGAGTGCGGTGGGGGGGTTCTGTGCATGGTGCGTAGTGGGTTTAGGGGAATGAGACAAGCTATACCAGCTGTACAAGAGCTCGTCTCAGAACTACCGTGTGGTGGTGCACGGCAGCAAGGTGAGAAGGTTGACGGGAGCATGCATGGTTATGGGGCCATGCGTGTATGCATGCTGATGGCTGTGAGGGGCTTTAGAGTTGGTTTGAGACAAGCTGCACCAGCTCCACACAGAACTACCGCGTGGTGGTGCACGGCAGCAAGGTGAGTGGGGGGAGTTGGCAGCAAGATGGGCAGCGTGAAGGGTGTGTGCGTGTTGAGGGCAGAGAGGGCCATGGGGGGCGGCTGTAGACAAGCTGCATCAGCTGTACAAGAGCTCTTTGCAGAAGCAGGTGCATGGTAGCAAGGTTAGGGGCGTGATGTGATGTGGCTGGGGATGAGAGGGCAGTTTGAGCAGCTGCTGCTGGAGATGTGCACGGACGGTGATGGCGACCTGCTCATTGGTTCCACCATCAGTCATTCTCCCTCCCCTCCCCCCCTTTCCTTTCCTCCCCACCACTGTGTGTTTCTTCCCACTGGCAGCACAATGCGGAGCAGTTTGAGCAGCTGTTACAGGAGATGTGCACGGACGACGATGGGGATCTGCTCATCAACTCCGCAGTCTATCTCCCTCCGTCCCTCCCCTCCCGTCTCTCCCTTTTCTGTCTCCCGTCTCTCCCGTCTCTCCTTCCATCCTGTCTTCCAGCACAACGCGGAGCAGTTTGAGCAGCTGTTACAGGAGATGTGCACGGACGACGATGGGGATCTGCTCATCGACTCCGCAGTCATTCTCCCTCCCTCCCTCCCCTCCCGTCTCTCCCTTTTCCGTCTCCCGTCTCTCCCGTCTCTCCTTCCATCCTGTCTTCCAGCACAACGCGGAGCAGTTTGAGCAGCTGTTACAGGAGATGTGCACGGACGACGATGGGGATCTGCTCATCGACTCCGCAGTCATTCTCCCTCCCTCCCTCCCCTCCCGTCTCTCCCTTTTCCGTCTCCCGTCTCTCCCGTCTCTCCTTCCATCCTGTCTTCCAGCACAACGCGGAGCAGTTTGAGCAGCTGTTACAGGAGATGTGCACGGATGACAATGGGGACCTGCTCGTCGACTTGGCAGTCATTCTCCCTCCCCTCCCTCCCTTTTCCGCTTCCCTGCCTATCCCCGCTCTTCCATCTTGCCTGGCAGCACAATGCGGAGCAGTTTGAGCAGCTGTTACAGGAGATGTGCACGGACGACGATGGGGATCTGCTCGTCGACTTGGCTTTCATTCTCCCTCCCCTCCCTCCCTTTTCCGCTTCCCTGCCTATCCCCGCTCTTCCATCTTGCCTGGCAGCACAATGCGGAGCAGTTTGAGCAGCTGTTACAGGAGATGTGCACGGACAACGATGGGGATCTGCTCATCGACTCCCCAATCATTGTCCCTTGCACCCACCCCTTCTTTCCCCTGCTCTGTTTCCCTCTCGTTCCTCGCACCATCTCACAGCACAACGCGGAGCAGTTTGAGCAGCTGTTACAGGAGATGTGCACGGATGACGATGGCGATCTGCTCATCGACTCCGCAGTCATATTCCCCTGCACCCGCCTCTCCCCTTCCCCTGCACCCGCCTCTCCCCTTCCCCTGCGTGCATTCCCACTTGTTCCTCCCATTCACTCGCAGCACAATGCGGAGCAGTTTGAGCAGCTGTTGCAGGAGATGTGCACTGATGACGACGGGGATCTGCTCATAGACTCGGCAGTCAAGGGCGGGCCCAAGGTCTTTGTCGTGTCCACCCTCGTTAGTGTCACCCCTGCCACGCCCTTCGTCTTCCGAAACTACCAGGTCAGTAGCTTGACTTGAGAGACGTGTCAAAATCAGATTTTGCTTGTGCTGCGCACGCTTGTTTAGCGTCACTGCAGCCACGCCCTTCGCCTTCCGCTACGGCCAGGTGGGGTTCTTGACAATGTGCTTCCTCCTTCCTGGGTGCTAAGTTTGCGCCCTCTTACCCTGCCCTACTCCCCTAATCGTTGCTGCCCTTTCCCCTTCCTGATCCCCTCTTCCCTCCATCCCTCTTCCCTCCCCCCCCACCCCACAACAGTACCCCCCAGGAACCAGGGAGACCCCCCACCCCCCATCCGACGGTTCCCCCATGCCCACGCCGCCCCCCCGCATGCGCACGTCGGGCCTATCCGCGCTGCTAGGCACGTGCAAGATGCAGCTCTGGCAGGCCATCCGAGCCTCCTCCGCAGCTCCGTACTATTTCGACGATTTCGCTGTTGGCCCCCACCGCTGGCAAGACGGGGCTATTTTCGCAAATAACCCCACTATTGTGGCCGTTAGAGAGGCCCGGCTGCTCTGGCCGGACCTGCCATTGGACTGCGTGGTCAGCCTCGGGTGCGGCTCGGCGCCGCCGAAGCTGCGCGGGAGGCCCGGGTGGAGGGTGGCGGATACGGGGCAGGTGCTGGCCGAGGCTGCAACGTCAGTGGAGCAGGCGGATCTGGCGTTTGAGTCGGTCGTGCCCATGCTGCCTGATGTCAAATACTACCGCTTCAACCCAGGTTGGTGACTCAGTGGGGAGGTGAGTGAGAGGGCTTCTGAGGCGCCTCAGAAGGACTTTTGAGGCGCCTTGAGTTGGAGCGGGCAGATCTGGCGTTTGAGTCAGTGATGCTGATAATGCCTGATGTCAAATACTACCGCTTCAACCCAGGTCAGTCAGTGGGGCGAGAGAAGGTTGTTGCAGGGAAAATGGTCAGTCAGGTAAGGGGATCGAGTGCAGAATGGCAGAGCTCTGCTCGTATCTGTGCCTGTGCTCCCTCCCATTCCTACTCCACACTGATTTCTTCCCTCCACCCCTTGCCCCTACCCCTTCCCCCTTCCCCCGAAGCAGTGGATGAGCGGTGTGGCATGGACCTGGATGAAACCGACCCAGCGGAGTGGGAGAAGCTGGAGACAGCCACGGACGAGTACGTCACAGCAGTCAACCGTGACATGGCAGATTTGAGACGTCTCAAAACATGGCAGAGCTCTGCAACTACCTGCGCCTCTGCTCCCTCCCCTTCCCCTCCACACTGATTTGCTTTCCCCTTCCCGCTTCCCCATTCCCGTTGCCCTTTTCCCTGTCCCCCTTGCCCCGTGCCCCTATTCCCCCTTCCACGTTCCCCCCTCCTATCAAGCAGTGGACAAGCGGTGTGGCATGGACTTGGATGAGACCGACCCAGCAGAGTGGGAGAAACTTGAAACAGCCACGGACGAGTACCTCACAGCAGTCAACCGTGACATGGCTGAGCTCTGCAACTACCTGCGCCTCTGCTCCTCCCCTTCCCCTCCACATTTACTTTCTTTCCCATTCCCCCTTCCCCTTTCCCCCTTCCCGTTTCCCCTTTCTCCCTTTCCCTTTGCCCCTTGCCCCTTTTCCCCTTCCCCCAAGCAGTGGACGAGCGGTGTGGCATGGATCTGGACGAAACAGACCCAGCGGAGTGGGAGAAGCTTGAAACAGCCACGGACGAGTATTTGACCGCAGTCAACCGCGACATGGCAGAGCTTTGCAAGTACCTTCGGCTCTCCGTTGCTCAGGAGGAAGCTGATAAGGCCGCCGTTGCAGCACTGTTAGGTGGAGGAGCAGCAGCAGCGGCAGCAGCGGCGGGTGGGTATAGGAGTCGTCCTGGCAGTCGGCCGGGAAGCGTGCCTGGCAGCCCCTGTCCCGGCACCCCTAGAGGCTACTCTAGCCCTGCACCACCACCTGGTTACCCCCGAGGAGCAGCAGCAGCAGCAGGAAAAGCTGGGACTGTTTACCCCCCCATTGTGCTCCCAGCGTCACCTAGGTCACCCAAGTCGTCTGCCCCCGCCTCGCCCCTGGCCAAGGTGATTGGGACCCCGGGGGAGCAGAGGAGGGGAGGCAGTGGCAGCTCGCTGCACGCGATCAATCCGTACCGTCGGCACGTGCTGCTCGTGGACTCCATCCGGCCGTCCGTTGCCCGCCGGCCCTGGCAGCACTCTGCTCGGCTCTGCTGCTCTGCCCTCGGCGGCGGCGGCGGGTATGGCAGCAGCAGCAGTAGCACTGTTTCTACCCATGCAGCAGCTGCAGCGAGGCTAGCAGGGATTATCAGCAGCATCAGCACGGAGGGTGGCAGCACTGGCAGTCTGCTATCCCACCTGCGCTGCCCCCCTAAGGTAGACGAACACATTTGTGAACCCTGCGACGCTCCTTCTGGTGGCGCTTCTGCTGCTGCTGCTGCTGCTGCTGCTGCTGCTGCTGCTGCTGCTGCTGCTGCTGCTGCTGCTGCTGCTGCTGCTGCTGCGTCCACTGGGCTTTATTTCTCCACCTCCCTCCAGTCGCCGTTCAGCTCCCGACCCTCCAGCGTGCCTGGCAGCCCCCGAACCGCAGGGTCAGCTTCGGCCATGGCTGCCGCTGCAGCTGCAGCGGCCGGGGCATCTGCTAGTGGCAGTGCCAGTCCCCATTTAGTGCCTGCTACAGGAGTGGCAGCACCGACAGCAGCAGGGGTAGGTTCAGCCGGTGCTGCTGGTGTTGCTGGGATGAGGCGGTCCGGTAGCAGCACGGCCATAGCTGCAGGTCTGGGAATAGGCTCGGGTGGAACAGGTGGAGGTTCGGGAGGAACAGTGGGAAGTGGAGGCAGAAGCGGAGTGGATCAAAGGGGAGGAGGGACTTGTGGTTCCCCGGTGTTTCGAGTTCCTTCCAACCTCGATCTTAACAAGCCTACAGGGGAAACCGCACGCCCTGCTACTGCCAGCACCACTCCTGCTGCTGCTGCTCCTGCTGCTGCTGCTACCTGTGCTGGGGCTGGGTCTACTATCAGAGCGACTAGTACAGAGGACACACCTCTGGGAGTGGAAGCGAGTTTTCGGCCCTGGATGGCTGAAGGGGAGGACTCCGATGGGGAAGAGGAGGGGCGGGGAGGCATGAGCACCAGACAAGAAGGCGCGGGAGCGGTCACACGGGGTTACACACCAGCATCAGCATCAGGTGCTGCAGGGACAACTGTATCAGCAACAGCAGGGAGAGCAGCGGCGGCGGCGGCGGCAGCAGCAGCGACGCTGCCGAGTGTGGGCGCGCGGCTGAAGCCGGTGTGGACAGAGGGCGGGTCCAGGAGGGCAGTGGCGCTGTCTCTCTCCCCCCCGGCAGCAGCACTCATGCAACGCCTGCAGCAGGCTGCTGGTGTGGGACTCGTGCACCTGGCGCTGCCCTGCGATCAGGCCGGCTTCATCCTCACGTGAGTGTTTGTGTTTGCTTGCTTGTTCTCTTGTGAGAGCTGGTTCCTTATATGAGACACCCTCCCTACCTTCCCTTCCGCTGGACCTTTGAGGTCATGCCAGTGGCAGAGCCCAATGACTCCGCCTCGCACCTGCTCTCACACTGTTCCTCACGTCTCTCTCTGCATCCCGCCTTTCCCCTCAGCTGGTCGTCTGAGGTCATGTCAGTGGCAGAGCCGAGTGACTCCGCCTCTCACCTGCACTCTTTGCACCGAAAAAATCACAACCGTTTTTGTCCCTATCTCCTATTCTGATCACTCCCCCTTGTCTCGTGTTGCCCTCCTCCTCAGCTGGTCATCTGAGGTCATGTCAGTGGCGAAACCCAGTGACTCCGCCACGCACCTGCTCTTTCGCTCTGTCCCTCACGCCTCTCCTTTTTCGCCTTACCCCTCTCGTCTCTTCCATCCCTCCCTCCCCTTCAGTTGGTCATCTGAAGTCATGTCAGTGGCAGAGCCTAGTGACTCCGCCACTCACCTGCTCGCCCGGGCCATTGACAGCATCGGCTGGTGGAACCCCGCTCGCCGCCACGCTGCTGCCCTCGCCCACTCTCTTGCCGCTTCTGCTGGTGCTGGTGGTGGTGGTGGTGCTGCTGCTGCTGCTGCTGCTGGTGTTGGTGCTGCTGGTGCTGCCAAAGCTCCAATGTCTGGTTCGGGTGGTCTTGCTTCGGCGCCTGGTTCGGCCTCAGCTTCGGCGGTTGATCTGGCTGGGCTTGCTGCCACTCACCAAGGAGCCAGTTCCCCTGGGCTTGGCTCGGTGAACGCAGCAGGTTCGGCAAGCGGAAGAAATGTAGCAGGTTCGGGATCAGCAGGCCCGGTAGGCGTGAGTGCTTCGAATAGTGGTGGTGGCAGTGCAAGGGGCATTAGTGGAACCCCAACCTCTTCTGCTGCTGCTGTCACTGCTGCTGCCGCTGCTGCTGTTGCTGCCAGCCCTGCTGGTGGCTCTGCTGCTGCTGCTGCTACTGGTGCTGGTGGTGGTGTGAGAGGTGTGGGTCCGCCTGGTGCTGCTGGGGGAGCGGGTGGAGGAGCAGGGGGAGGGAGAGGGGGCAGGAGAGCGGGGGAGAAGGCACCGGCAAGCCTGTGGGAGTTGGTGCATGTGGCGAGCTGCTTTGTGGTGGATGGGGTGCTGCATCGCTTCATGGGCTGCCACACTCAGGTATGCCCACATGTTTGCATTTCCCCAAGTCATGGGCTGCCACACCCAGGTATGCCCACATGCTGCCCTCCTTGCCTCTTCCCAATGCATGGGTAAGGATAAAACGCCACACTCAGCTGGGCCGAGCCGAATGCCTTGCCCTTTCCAATAAATGGGTTGTCACACACAGTATGCCAAGTACCTTGCCCTCATTGCCTCTTCATCCAAGCCCCATCAATAAGTGTTGCCCCTCGTTCCCTCCTCTGGAACGACCCTGCTAGAATCTTAGTGGATGGTTTGGGGCTCTACACCCTTCCAGCAGTTACGTGTGTGGGGTGAGCTGGGTAAGAAGCTGACATTCCTTTTCTGGCTGCCACTGTTGTCCTGTTTGTCTGTTTCCCTCTCCAGATCCTGCCGGGCGGCATGGAGGTGAGCACGTATCTCTTCAGCTGCACGGCTCCTGCGGTTCACCTCACAGAAGCTGACATTCGCTGGATGGTGAGTTGGTTGGGGTGGGTTGGGGTGACGGCTTGCTGGATGGGGGGTTGGATTGGAGATGGGGTGATTGTTGGGAGGTTTGATGGTTGGAGGTTTATGGGTGGCGCATGGTGGCTCCCGCTGTCCACCTCACAGAAGCTGACATTCGCTGGATGGTGAGCTGGGGTGGGTCATGCTGGTTGGTGAGTTGGTTGGAGTTGGGGTGATTGTTGGAGGGATTGGTGGTTGGACGGTTGGTTTGAAGGTTGGAGGGTTGGATTTTGGATGGCAGATGGTGGCTCCTGCCATCCACCTCACTGAAGCTGGCATCCACTGGATGGTGAGCTGGTTGGAGTGGGGTATGTTGGATGGTGGGTGGTGGGCGGTGGGTGGTGGGTGGTGCATGGTGGGTGGTGGATGGTGGGTGGTGCATGGTGGGTGGTGCATGGTGGGTGGTGCATGGTGGGCGGTGCATGGTGGGCGGTGCATGGTGGGTGGTGCATGGTGGGTGCTGCATGGTGGGTGCTGCATGGTGGGTGGTGCATGGTGGGCGGTGCATGGTGGGTGGTGGTGCATGGTGGGTGGTGGATGGTGGGTGGTGCATGGTGGGTGGTGGGTGGTGCATGGTGGGTGGTGCATGGTGGGTGGTGGGTGGTGCATGGTGGGTGCTGCATGGTGGGTGGTGCATGGTGGGCGGTGCATGGTGGATGGTGCATGGTAGGTGGTGGGTGGTGCATGGTGGATGGTGCATGGTGGGTTATGCATGGTGGGTTATGCATGGTGGGTGGTGCATGGTGGGTGGTGCATGGTGGGTGGTGCATGGTGGGTGGTGCATGGTGGGTGGTGCATGGTGGGTGGTGCATGGTGGGTGGTGCATGGTGGGTTATGCATGGTGGGTTATGCATGGTGGGTTATGCATGGTGGGTTATGCATGGTGGGTTATGCATGGTGGGTTATGCATGGTGGGTTATGCATGGTGGGTTATGCATGGTGGGTTATGCATGGTGGGTTATGCATGGTGGGTTATGCATGGTGGGTTATGCATGGTGGGTTATGCATGGTGGGTGGTGCATGGTGGGTTATGCATTGGTATCAGGTGGTGAGGCTCATTTGGATGTTGCCTAGATCACTGATGGCTCACTGCCATGTGGCTGCACTGTGTGTGCCACTGAAATCTCTTTGTGAGCCATGTGTGGGCGCCAAATGACGGTTTTCCTCAAATCTCGCACTACCCTTTCCAATTCTCCATCTTTCCCTGTTTTCCTGCTGCTTCTCCTGCCTCCCTGCCCCTCTCTGTGACCACCCTCACAGGCATCATCATGGAGGGATCGCATAATAGTGTGCACGGGCCAACAGAGCCCCCCCACTGCTCTCATAAACGCCTTTCTGGACACCGGAGCCAAGGCGGTCATTGCTCCTCCCCCTGCCAGCCCCTCTTCATTGGCCGGTCACTACGCATCAAATCCTGTGGCGGCTGCAGCAGCAAGTGGCATGTCTCCTCGCATCGACTTGGCGTATCAAGGAGCGATAGGTTCGGATTTGGCGGCGGCAGCAGCGGGTGGGGATTCGGTTAGGTTGGGGAAGAGGGAGGCCTGGTTGGAGGACGTGGAGGCTTGGATTGGTCGGGAGGATCGGGTGTTTGGTTTGGCGGTGGAAAAGGAGCAAGCAAGCGCTAAGGTGGAGGAAGAGAGGCTGGGGTTGTTTTTGAGGGATCTGTACAGTGGGTTGTTTGATGATGGATTTTCGGCTCCTGTAGCTTTGGAGGAGACTCTGAAGGCACATCCGGGGATGAAATTTTCATGCCATGTCAAGAAAAGGTAAAATTGTATCAACAATATACCCGTATAAGATGCTAAAACAAAAGCCTACCGGAAATGCATTCACTGTAGAGTGTCATGAGTAGGTAATTTTCTAACACGTATAAACGAGTCGACATGTACTGCGTAGATTGTTGTACGTTTCCGCGCCAATGCCTGCCAGCGGTGCTTGTTGCGCTGGCGCGCGGCGATGCTGGAATGTCAGGAAACTGCACCAGAAGCGTCGCAGATTTTCCATCTCCACCCAAAAGATTTAATCCAAAACGCACAAGACCGCATTCAAATCCTCCCGTTTCATCAACAACCTCCATCAACTTGTTTCCCTCCTCTGCCACACTTCTCCCTTATGGATCATCTCGAGGCATACCGCTCCACAGTCTAGACGTGACTCGAGTGTTCTTCAACTCGTGATTTCCTTCATTCTTCAGTAGAACTTCGAGTTCACCAGCGTTCGTTTCAGGCAGTCTGTTTTCTTTGGCTACACGTTTCTGTATCGTGCCTAACTGTTAATCGCCCAGCCCGTCTGCGCTGTTTCGCAACGATCGCCGTCCACCGTTTCGAAGTGTAGATCGCGTACCGAACGCCCGTATAGCGTCATCGAGCGTCTGCGCCTGTGGACAACATTTGCTCTGTCGTTAAAGTACCGAGTCGACAAATCACTTCGTGGACCTTTCAGCTAGCAAACTGATTCAGACTCAAAGGCAATGGCCGACTCTGCTAGCGGATCTGCAAGCGCGCCGAGCTCAGATTTCTACACCGCTGCGGGGTTCAGAAAGTGGGTCGTGGAGAACAAGATCAAGGCCGTTGGTGAGTGCAACTAAAGCCCCGTTAGTATCACAATTGTCCCCACATTTTTTATGCTCAAGAAAACGAGCAGCGACACGTTGCACCGAACGGATCTTGAGAACGAGTTATGAATAACAACGACCACGCTTTGGTGATCTGGTTGTGCCATGACAGTCTGCATCATGTGATTCATAGACGTTGGCGGTATCATGAGTTCAAAACCTTGATGTAGTGACTGCGGCAATCCCTTTCGTCGTGGGCTTGTTTCGAAGTTCTCTGTTGGAATATCAAAGACATTGCTAAGGGTTCATTCACCTCTGTTTGTGTCCGGCATCTCAGGTTCTCTATGGGCGTCAGCGGTGGGTGGATCCATTTTGTACAATCTCCGCAAGCCCGGGGAGAAGATGAGCGTCAAGATCATCCATGCTCGGTAAGCTCTAGGCATGATGTTTGTTGTAGTCCTGAGGCTCCTTTCCAATGAACCTGTCAAGTATTGTTAGTTACACACACCACATGCGCATCCCTGAATACCCTTGTGCTATTTGCTGTTCACAACAGCGTTTCTTTTTTTATGGCTTTGTGCACTCCAAAAGTGGCCATTTCAGTGGCAGCCTCTCCATGTTATTTCTGCTCCTTTCCTCCTGTATGTCCCACAGGTTACATGCTCAAGCATTGACATTGGCGGCATTGCTGGCTGCTGGCGCTGTGGAGTACTACGAGCATTCCTCAGGGGCGAAAGTGGAGAAAGTTGCTGAACAAACCAAGTTGCACTAATGTCTACACATTTGGAATGTATCCAGTTCAATTAAACGCATGCTGTTGTTTCTGTAGATCAATCAATGTACCATATCCTAATCCCTTAGTGGCCACCTCTTCTCAAACAACACCATGAGGCACAAGTACTACCAGAGGGTACCTGGCTTGCCATCATGCTCTGCTGTTAGTGCACTCCCTTGTGCTGCTGGGTGGGTTCCTGCTACGGTAGTTGACTCTCTGTGCATTGCCATCATTCCCTACTGTTGCTGCACTCTCTTGTATTGGAGAGAGTTTCCCTGCGGTTGGTATGGTACGGTATGGTCCTGGCTCTTGCTAGGATTTAGGCCCGTCTGAAAATATAAATGAAAGAATCGTTTCGTCTGACTGACGTTCAGACGGGCCAATTTTTTCTGTCTGAATTTTCAGATGAAAGTTGGAGCTGTGTCTGTTTTTTCCGACGATATATTTTGCTTAGTCTGATTTAACTAGAACACTCATCGAGCGTGATTCAACTCTATTTTTTCTGAAGCTTACCGTCATCGCTAGGCCCTCAGATTCGTTTTTAGCCTGTCTGATTCATCAGACTTGGTACACAGTTTTAGTCTGATCAATCAGACTTGGAACACAAAAAAAGATGAAAATTCAGAGTACGGTACATAAACCAAAAAAAAAAAAACAAAAAAAAAAAGATCATTCAGAGTTGATGCAAACGAAAATTCTGATGGTGATTACAACTTATGGCATTGGTTTATCAGAATAACTGTGCAGGAATGAATGAACTATGAATGAGTTGGGTACAAGTACCGTACTAACCCTAAAGTGTTGTACCCCTTGTAGGCTAATCCACTATAGCCTAGAGAGAACACAAACATCTAGTTTGACACACCCCCATAGCCTAAGTGGGAGATAGCAAACACAACAGACGGTCACAAGACCAGTCAAGCAAAAGAACAAAGCAAATCAAAGGTCAGGGTGGATCTCAGGGCCCTCGTTAGCAGACTAATTTAGTCTGTTGGTCTAGGTTTCAGACACGAAATGTGTAGTTCATATGCTGCGGCAGACTTTAGCTTATGGGCCATATGTGAGCCAAGACCAAGGCTATAGCATCATATGATTTTTCAGGAAACTTATATACGGTAGATTCGTCTGATCAAGCAGAAATCGCGTATTGATTCGTCTGATAGAGACAAAATAGCCCAGTTGGCCAGAGGAGCAGCGATGTGTTGCATGTGAAGGCACGCGTAATGATTTCTGCGTGAGGGAACGGGGGTGAATTTCGGATTCTTCCTACCAGCGCATACTGCATCTGACTCAGTTGCTGCCATGCATCTGTTGGGTAGCTGTTGTCGGCGCCGCTGCCGAACTGTTGCCCGTTTCGGCATCTGTGGCCACAACTCTACCGGCGATTTCTGTTTCTCGCATTAGAGCAGGGAACGGCAAATACAAACAGCGAATTCTGAGCTTTGCCCGTCCCACTGCAGGTGTCCCGCCAGCAACCGTCCCCCGCTTTAGCACACCTCGCCCGGGCCCGTCACAGCCCGTCGCCGCCAATTCGTCGGAGGGAGTACGAGAGGAGCAAGCAGTATGTGTTTGTAGCGGCCACCATGCCAACGGGCACCAAGAAGAGCGTGGGGGAGGTACTCGCGAAGCAGTTCCCCGCCGCCGTGTGGGTCAGCGGTGTCCTGCTGCACCGCCACAACCCCTTGTCAGTGCCCATCACCGCACTCCATACCTGCACACCCACACACACCCAAAGGCTGTGTGGTCAGGGGGGGGCTGCCATGAGCTATTAACCCACCTGCCCCTTTCCTCTTTCTTCAACCCCTTTCCTCTTCCTCTTCTTCCTCCCCTTTCCCCTTCCTCTTCTTCCTCCCAATCCTGCCTCACTTCAGTGTTCGTTAGCTGCCAATTCAACCCTACTCGCCCCTCCCCATTCGCTTCATCGATCCTGCTTTTCCTCCTTCCCTATTTTTCCGAACCCCCACTACCCCTCCCAACCCCCCTTGTGTCAGTGTACGGCTTGACTGGCATCAGGTGGATGACAGCTCGCGAGCCGCTGCACTGCTGAGAGCGCTGGCTTGTGGAAATGGTCAGCTGGAGGGAGGAGTGGAGAGCGGTGCAAATGGTGTGCCGAGTGCAGAGCAGCAGGACAGCATCCAGCGGACCATGGTCTTTGCCAACGACGTGGAATCGGTGGACGCCATTGGCCGGCTCCTCCAGCGCCACCTGTCCTCCTCTGCTGCTGCCACGTCAGCAGTAGTAGCCGATGACATGGCGGTAGGAGGAGCCGCTGATGTGGCAGCAGAAAGGGGTGCTGACGTGGCATGGTGTGCAGTGTACCACAAGGACGTGCCGCTGGACGAGCGGGAGCGCGCACTGAGAAGGTTCCAGGAAGGAGGGGGTGTGCTGGTGTGCATTGATGCTGCTTCAAGGGGAATTGACGTGGAGCATGTGTCTCACGTGGTGCAGGTGAGGGCGAGGAGAGAGAGGGGGGGGTTATTTGGAGGGGGGGTGGATGTGCAAGCGAGTGGAGAAGAGTGAAGGCTGCATGGATGGGTGGCACAGAGAGGGATTGACTTGGTGCATGTGTCACGTGTGGTGCGGGTGAGGGAGAAAGAAGGGGGGAGAGGGGGGAGGCGCGTTTAGGGGGCGTGGAGGAGGAAGGAAGTGCCATATATTGCCAGGGCAGGGCTTGCTGAATCACATATCTGTACGATAGTCACCTACCTCGCTCTCATGCCCTGCTCTTCGTCCTTTACCTGCACCGCTCTGATTGATTTCTGAATTTCTGCACCATGTGGGCACAATCCACGTCATGCACTTCTCCTCCCTCCTCTCTCCTTCCCTCCTCCTCCTGCATCCCTCCTCCCAGGCCGAGTTCGCCCTCAACGCCCCTGGCAGAGACGGGCAGACCATGGCAAAGAGCACATTGCTTCAGATTCAGAGCTAGACGGGGACGACGAGGAATATTATTCTCATGATAGCGATAGTGAATCCTAGTTCAATATGAATGTATGGTTAACTGTAGTAATAGAGTAGAGTAGAGTCTAGTCTGTGTGTAGACTATATAACTAAATAAATGTCTGATTTCGTGAAAATCTGTCTGAGCCGACATACTAACTTATAAAATCCGTCTGAGGCAAAGACCACCAGGAATCCTCCATATGAGGGCCAGACGAATTTTTTTTTTTCTTGGAAAACGTCAGACGGGCCTAAAAGTTAGCAAGAGCCCTGGTGGATCTCAAGGACACCACACAATCTGAGCACAAGCAAGCGGCCACAAGGCCAGTTCACATGTAGAGTTATAATAGCAAGGCAATACACTGATCACAACCTAGCAAGAGTAAACAAGCAGGTATAAAGATATGTATCAGTGTACAACAAGAACAAGTCAAACAACCAGCACGTGAGGCAGAGTGGGCACAAGCCCAAGATCAGTGCAGAAACGCTGATGATCACCAGACCCAAGGGCCTTGGTGAACACATCAGCAGTGTTGGCCCGCGAGGCCACGTAGGAAAGGCGGAGCTGATGACGCTGCTGCAGCTCACGCGCAAGGAAGTAGCGAAGAGCAATGTGCTTCGTTCTATGCTCCAGTCTCTGCTCGTGACACAAGGCAAGCATTGGAGGAGAACGAGGCCGCTCCCCCAAGTTGGTCAGCAGGTAGGTCAGCCAGCGTAGCTCCTGTGCAGCTATGGCCCCAGCGAAGATCTCGGCCTCACAGCTGGAACCAAACACAGAAGAAGAACGAGTGGACCTCCACGAAACAGAACCAGAGCCAAAAATGAAGGTGTAACCCTGTGACGAACGCTGAGTCGCCTGGTCGTCGGCCCAAGAAGCGTCGGAGTGTCCTGTGAGTACCACTGAACCCTGTCCTCCAAGCACTAGCCCCATGCCTGATGTACTGCACAAGTAACGCAGTACCCTCTTCGCAGCATCCCCGTGCACCTTTCGGTGTCTACCGGGAGCCACGTAGCAAGCCAGGAGGCTGAGAGGTCACGCGAGGTCAGGTCGTGTGCACGTCATCAGGTACATGATGCAACCCACAAGCTCTGGGTACGGACCACTCGGCTCTACGGACTTGTCCGAAGGTGGAGCTGAGAGCAAGTGGCCAGTAGACAGAGGAGTGGGCTGTGGCGAGGAGAACTGGAAGCCAAAGCGCTGAAGGACCTGGTGCACCATGTGTGACTGAGTCAGGGTGATGGTGCGCCGTGCTCACCCAGGTCAATGCAGGTGTGCCTCTCTTGCAGCTCCGCCTTCACCAGGGCCAGCGCCTCAGTGTCAGCAGTAGCAAAAACCAAGTCGTCGACGTACACGAGAACGTAGAACGGTGGCAGGGTAGTGTCGGTGCGTGGAAACAGCGACGGGTCAGCAGAGGAAGGAGTAAACCCAAGAGCCGCAAGTGTAGCCCTCAGTGTGTCGTGCGACTCTCGGGGCGCCTGGCGGAGACCGTAGATTGGCCGCCGGAGGCTCCACTGGGTACCCGCAGGAAACGACCCAATGAAGCCGGGTGGGCGGCGCAGCCAGATCTCCTCGTGAAGGCTGCCCTGCAGGAAAGCTGTGGAGAAGTCGAGGGAGTGCAGCTTGTAGTCACGCTGAGCTGTAACGTGCAGCAGCACCCGAAGAGTAGTCATCTTCGGGGTGGGGGAGAAGGTCTGGAAGAAGTCGACCCCCTGTCGCTGACTGAAGCCTCGAGCAACGTGACGCGCCTTGAAGGCAGGGGGAGAATTTGGCGGCCGCTTCACTCTGAAAATCCACATGCCATCGATTATGTTCGCCCCAGGAGGGGGAACAGCGTCGACGTAGGTGCCTGTGGACTTCGAGGATGCCATCTCTGCGTCCATGGCTGTCTGCCACTGAGAGGAGTAGGGACCCGTAAACACCTCTGCGTAAGAGCGCGGGGTCAGGATGTCTAATGCATCCGGGTCTTCCTCAGGTGCAAACAGCATGTCCACGAGATGAGGTACAGCAGCTGCAAGACACTCAAAGTCCTCTTGCCTGACCTCAAGGACGTCCGTGCCAAGAGCACACTCACCCCCAACGGACGGAGGACAGTCAGACTCAGACTCAGCAACAAGACTGGCGGCGTAGTCGAGACGACAGGCGGCAGCAAAGTCAACAAGCTCAGCAACTAGGGCACACGCAGCAGCGGATTCAAACGAAGGGTCAGTGACAACAGTGGCTAGAAGATGTGTGACAGTAGGACTGGCAGCACGAACTAAGTCAGACTTAGGGTCCAAACCGTCAGCAAGAGAGGACGCTGGAGGAGACGGCAGGGGAACTCGCAGTGGAACAGAGGAAGGACGAAGTGGCATAATGTGAGTGTCGGGGAGAGGAGGAGGACGCGGACAAGGAACACAACGACTAGTGCAAACAGCGCGAACAGGCGAGGCAGGACGAGACTCAGGCTCACGACGCTCTGTAAAAGAGTAAGGAGAAGGAGCAGGCAGTGGGGAGTCTGGCTGTGACTGTGGCTGCGACTGGTGAGGCGGTGGACACAGTAAGCGAGGAGTAAGGCCATTAGAAGACAGGAGACTAAGAACCTGGTGAAGGACCGAGCCAGGTGGCGGCAGAGACGACGGCGGTGGCGGAATGAAAAACGGTCGCCACTGCACAGTGCCTCCAGCACCGGTACCGCCAGCTCCAGCACCCCCAGAGCCAGCACCTCCAGCTCCAGAGTCTCCAGCTCCAGCGCCTCCAGCTCCAGTGCCTCCAGGTCCAGCTCCTCCAGCTCCAGCACCTCCAGCGCTAGCGCCTCCATCTTCAGCGCCTCCAGCTCCAGTGCCTCCAGCTCCAGCTCCTCCAGCTCCAGCGCCTCCAGTGCCAGTGCCTCCAGCTCCAGGGTCTCCAGCTCCAGTGCCTCCAGCTCCAGGGTCTCCAGCTCTAGTGCCTGCAGCTCCAGCGCCTCCAGCTCCAGCGCCTCCAGCTCCAGGGTCTCCAGCTCAAGCGCCTCCAACACCACCAGCTCCGGCAACTCCAGCACCTCTAGCACCTCCAGGACCAGCAGCTCCAGCACCTCCAGTACCTCCAGCTCCAGCAGTAACTCCAGCACCTCCAGGACTAGTAGCTCCAGTACCTCCAGCTCCAGGGTCTCCAGCGCCAGCACCTCTAGCTCCAGGGTCTCCAGCTCTAGTGTCTCCAACTCCAGCGCCTCCAGCTCCAGCGCCTCCAGCTCCAGGGTCTCCAGCTCCAGTGCCTCCAGCTCCAGGGTCTCCAGCTCCAGTGCCTCCAGCTCCAGCGCCTCCAGCGCCAGCGCCTCCAGCTCCAGGGTCTCTAGCTCCAGTGCCTCTAGCTGCAAGGCCTCCAGCTCAAGTGCTTCCAGCTCCAGGGTCTCCAGCTCCAACGCCTCTAGGACTAGTAGCTCCAGCACCTCCAGCTCCAGTGCCTCCAGCGGCAGGGCCTCCAGCTCCTGCAGCGCCACTCCTAAGGCGTGTGCGCCGAGCAAACCACTCGCGCAGCTGCCGCGGTGAGAGAGGCTCCCGCCGGCGAGACTATCGTGGCAAGGCACCCACAGGACCTCCGGGAGACGCAGTACCCCTAGGCTCAGCACCCCCAGGCTCCGCACCCTCAGACTCAGCACCCCCAGGCTCCGCACCCTCAATCTCAGCACCCCCAAGCTCCGCACCCTCAGACTCAACACCCCCAAGCTCCGCACCCTCAGTCTCAGCACCCCCAGGCTCCGCACCCTCAAGCTCAGCACCCCCAGGCTCCGTACTCGGAGGCTCAGCACCCTCAGACGCAGCACCCCTAGACGCAGCACCTGAGTCTACAACGACCTCGACAGGCACAGCCAAGGGGAGTGGGTCTACCTGAGACACACCTGAGGGAGAAGGACCCTGAGGGGGGAGGGGGTCTATCGGAGGGGGACCTGGAGCGAGGAAGAGCGGCGGGGGGGGGGGAGAGGGGCAGTGCGGTAGGGGAAGAGATGGTAAAAGGGAACCGACTCGTCAAACGTGACGTCCTGAGAGGGGAGGACACAGCACGAGGTGGGGTGGTAAAACTGCCAGCCAGGCACGTCAGGGGGAAAGCCAAGGAAGACGCAGGAAATAGCGCGGGAGGAGAGCTTGTTCGCGGAAGTATCGTGGACAAAGGCACGAGAGCCCCAGACCTGGAACACCGACGCATCGCCAACCTTCCCCGTCCAACGCAGTGTAGGCGAGGTCTCCGGCAAGGAGACACGAGGCTAGAGGTTGAGCTGATGCGCAGCGTACCGGACTGCAAACGACCACAGAAAATGGGGAGCACCCGCATGGATCATGGAGGTACGAGCCACCTCCATGACTAAGCCAATGCGGCGCTCAGGAACCCCATTTTGCTGCGGGGAGGCCGGAAGCGTGAACGATTGGAGGACGCCCTCCCCACGACAAAAGTCCCGCAAGAGGTCGGAGGAGAACTCACCACCTCTGACAGAGTGCAGACGCAGGACCGGAAGGTCCTCGCGAAACCGCTCGCGGAGCTGGAGACGGACTGCGCGGATCCAAGGGATCAAGACATCAGGGACCTCACCCTTTCCGCACAAGGGAAAGACTGTGGTGTAACGCGTGTAGTCGTCAAAAACCAGCAGTTAGTAGCACTTGCGGCCTTGTCCACTGACGCGGGCTGGGCCCCACACATCCATTTGGAGATTCTGCAGGGGAGCAGTCATCGGGGGAAACGAGGAGGAGTGAGGAGTGGCGCGCTGCCGCCCCTCGACGCAGGGAAGGCAGGGCGGGGAAGGCGAGGGCGGGAGGGGAGGCAAAGAACTGGGAAGACCAGAAACAAGGAGGCGGGAGTGCATGCCACGAAGGCGTGGCAGGGAGGGGTGACCCAGGCGGTGGTGCCACAGGAGAGTCTGGTGTGACAGGAGGCGACACGAGCAAGGGGCTGCTACCGGACCTGACGCGGACACCTGAGCAGACGCAGCTACCTGAGGAGGCTCAGTAGTCAGTGTGTACAGACTCGACCGAGGCCGA